AAGCCAATGAAAAGTCTTGAATTACATTATCCAATGATCCAGTTTCTAATATAATAATATATATAATGACGTAAGCTCTTGGAGAATTACTATAGCAAATGATCGAGGCTTACTAGAAGGTCCTCATAGGGTGATGGCTTTTACAGCTAACGGTTAATTTTTTGGCTAATTTATAGCTAACGGTTTACATCTTTCCAATGTTGTCACCAAAATTTTATTATTACTTTTAACTTTTTTACGACTAACAGTTAAAATTTGTAAATTTTTGCGCCTGACGGCTAAATGTTTTGGATGTTTTACGGCTATCGGTTAACCCCATTGCGACCCTCTGGCAATTTATGTGCATTAGAGCTTAAATAGGAACTGAAATATCGAATGACCACAGAGATCCGTCTTAGTTACAAATTTAAAAGCATTTTTATCTAAGAGAGATCAACATCTTTACGACCTTTCATCCTACAATAACTCTACATGGCTTTTAATCCCAAAACCATTTCACTCCCGAAATCAAGAATGCCGCGTGTGAAAAGAATTCTGACCTTTGACTATTCAGTCCCGGGCCCCAAAAGTTGTTTAAGAATGTAATTTGTATTCGTAGCCAGGAGAAATAAAAGCCTTGATGGCTTTAAATTTGATTTAGCGTCTATGGAAATTTTATTTTTAAAAATTTCAAGAATTTCGTCATTCGTGCTATTATTTCATCACTGTCTAGTGTGTGTGTCTGTGTGTGTGTGTGTGTGTGTGTGTGTGTGTGTGTGTGTATGTGTATGTGCGTATGTGTGTTTCTACAATAATTTCTGCGATTTGACTGATCCAAGCCAATATAAACTGTTTGACGGAATCAAATTACTATGACTTATCCAAGTGAAATCAAAACCAAAATCCTTTATCACTTTTGATCGATTCTAGGGTCACTCTATCAAACTAGATATACATCAAGGATGGATGAATAATGGGAGTAAGTTTCTAAAAGAAAAGTGATTCTGCGTCGGTGATGATCATTTCCAAGACAAAATTGGTTTTACCAACAGAGTTGATATCAGAGATTATTCCACGCAAAGGGGACAGGAAGGATTTTTATCCACGATCGAGTGGCGATGCATAAAAAAAAAAAAAGACTTACAGGTGAGCACGGCGAACGAACCGATGAGTTTTTCCATGCATTGCAACGAGTGAATAAAAATCGTTCAAGCAGTTTCCATGATATTATCTTATTCTTTTTCGTACTGACCGATAAAATTCAAAGTTTGGAAGCGAAACTACTATGAAAATACATCATTCACCCAGTCAGAGACATGAACGGTAGTACTTCACAGTGTAAATCTCCATATGTATGAACTGAATAAAATGCTGATTGCAATTGACCCCCCACAAAGAGTTTCTAAAGCTGGCGTTTTGCTCTTACTAAGCTAACCCTTGCGGAAACGTCGGCTTGAATCTCTTAACGGTGGCCAATTTACATTATAGACTCAGTTGATTAAACAAAATTATCTTAAATATTAAGGCCATTCTGTTTCAACAAACATGAACTTTTAGGTTGGGAAAAATTGAGCAGTTAGATTCCAATTTTCTACTTTCTGAGATAGGTTTTGGCATGAAAATTAAACTGTCGTCTCCATGAAAGACAGTGTTTCCATTTTTTCCTTTTCGTAAAAGAAGCCTCTTGCCTTTCCATTTTGTAATGCGATGTTTTTTGGTTTAAATCATCCTTTTTTTTCCTGAGCAGAAGTTCAGCCTCTTGAATACCTTCGAAAGCCCTTGGCGATAGGTGTTTATACAGAAAATGCACATCACTGTAGAAATGGCAGCGTTTGAATACAAGGCAAAATGAGCAAAGAAACCAAATTGGTCCATTTGACGTGGCATCTTCCATTTCCACACAAAATAAAATAAAATCCCATACACATAGATTGGGAGAAGGCAACATGCAAACGCAACTAAAATGGCACAAATGTTCTTGAAAACCTTCATGTCTTCAGCTCGTTTCCGACGCAATTGCTCTGAGCAGAAGTTTGTAACAGCTTTTTTATTTTTCAGACTCCAAAAAATCCTTGAATAAATGAAAGTTATTAGACACAAAGGTACAAGAACTAGTAAGACTAACAACACGGTAGCATACTCTTGTTGTGTCTTGCGATTGTCGAATGGTGGCTCCCAGTTAAGATCACAAGTCATTGTTTTGTTATAGGAACTAAGACGAAAGGCGTAGAAATATTCCGTGTAGCGACACAGATGTGAACCAAGTTAGGGGAATGATGAATTTACATCGTTTTGGCGTGATGATTGCGGGAAGAAATGGATGCACTGTGGCTCTGTATCTTTCAATGGAGATTATAACCAGGCCTTGAATCGAGACAGCTGTTGAAATGTCTTGAAAGAAATATACGAGCTTACATAAAATTGCTCCTATAGTCTTGTCTAACAACCAGGCACGGGTACCAAGTACGATCTGGCAGAGTTTGTTTGGAACAGCAACGGTTGACATTAGCAAGTCTGATGCCGCCATATTTGCGATGAGATAATTCACAGTTGTCCTCGTCCGTTTTTTTCGCGCAGTAATTGAAACGATGGCGGAGTTTCCAAGAAGGGAGACAGCCAAAATGAGGCAATAGGCCAGAATTTTGAGAGCTTTTATCGCAGGAGGATCTTCAGCCATCGTTCTGCAATTGGTTTCACTCGCCATCGTTTGGACTACAATGAAGAACGGCAACTTGAAGACAAGTGAAAATGCTGCTTCTCGACACTAAATGTATTTGGCCATCGGTTCATTCTTATCTAAAATCAAACAAAGTCCTTAAAACTTTAGAACGCTTTACTTTGATCTAGCCAATAAGTCCTGTATTTCTAGTATCCCGGGAAATTATCAGAAAACTGCCTTCCTTTTGTGTACTTTCTCCATCAACCGGTTTCCGAAATAGAAGTGTTCCATTTATTACAGAGTGCGATGGTCTGTCATTACAAATTGCAACAGCTGTTTTGTAACAAAGCTTGACAGGCATTACAAAGTGTGACAGAAAACCATTTATTTGACGCAAATCAGTACAACAGAACGACAAAGAAGGTTGTGAGAATTCTCGAAATTTATGCACTCCCTCGACCCTAGCAGTCTTAGGTTCGCAGCGCAGGACTGTAGCCGTTCCCGAGCCCTTAGTCAGTGGGGGCGAGTGGCAGAGCCAACGAACGACAAGCGCGATTGTGGTTGTTCGGGAACCGGAATGGAAGGACAATTTTTTTTTTACCTCACTATCGCCAGTTTTCGCGTGCCCTTTCGTTCGTTTCCGCTGACCGAGGCTCCGTTTTCCACCTAACCTAAGCCCAAAAGGTTGAGTCACGGTTTTCAGGCGTCAAAAAAAGTTTCAATCTCGCGTAAGCGATGAGATTCGCCTGTCAATCTTCACGTCATCGCAACACAAGGATGATCTCAGAAAATTTAAACCATTTGAATCTTGCGTTGGATTAATGATAATATGAATTTACATAATGCTGGAGCATGATCATCTGCCATTAGCTAACCCATTTCACGGATGAAATCACCTCTCGTAAACTCAGTCGACAGTCGATATTTGTTGCCTGAAGGGGGCTCACACGGTTTTCAGGAAGGACGGAGGGGGATTTAATCGTCGCCATAAAACAGAGTAAAGGGTGGGGGAAATTAAAAGCCTTAGAGCATGGGGGGACGGTAAAGTAAATTTAACGGTGGCACAAACAACATCCTGCAACCCCACCCGCCCTTTCAACCGGCAAGCGGTAAATAATCATCGATTCCTAAAGTAGAAGTAGAAGACGACATACCACAAAGGATCGAGAAATTCCAGAAGGGTCGAAATCTCTACGTTCAGGAATGTTTCATTTTGCGTTTATGTCGCATCTAAGAGTGGTAAAATATAACAAGTACACAGTCTTGTTCTATGGAATGATTGAAGCAACACTTCTGCAAGCAGTACACGGTTAAAAACCAACGCTAACAAAAAAATAATAAAATCAATTAACTAGGTCAGCTTTCCAATTAAGGACTCCGAACAAATTGTTTGGTTTGCGTCGCTGTTGTTTGAACAACGGTACTTTACGTCAGAGTTAACAATGCGATTCATAAATAACACCTCCGAAGAATGAAACATTTTCGAGCCTGCATAAGTTATATGCGTTGTTGAACGCAAACAATCTCTAACTTCGTTGCGCATGGACAACACAAAGTTTTATTGTTTCTCAATAAGTGCACGATCTTTGTTTACACAAATCGTTTGCATTTGAATTCATTCCTTACCGTTTTCCTGTCTTGTTAATCAAGCATTTCGACATCGATCGAGTTTCCGAAAATTTTCCATGTTGGCGAAATGGTTGGAATTTCTACTAAAGGTACGTGGGAATTCAGCTCACTTATCGTCAGTAAAGTGAGAAAGTGATATTGTTGCGAGAAGAAACATATCTTGTACAAACAGAATATTTAAGTTAACTGTTGTGGGTTTATTTAGCGCTTACTTGGCATAACTTAAAGGACTAGCTTAATTAACACGTTCAAACAAACTGGGACATTCTTAGTTATAACAGAGCCCTACGACAATTAAGTTTTCGTTCATTACAGAAGATTCACGATCTAAAATAGACTACAAAGGAGAACGAAACACAAATTTAACGATGCATGTCATATCGTAATTACACATCTGAACAAAGCTGCAGCTATGTTTGAATTTCAGCATTGTTGCTTACACGCACCCCAGTGGCAGATCCAGACCTTGAAGGAGAAGGGAGGGGAGGGGAGGGGAATGTTTTGTGCGTGTAAGGTACACCTGCCGGCTTTTCTTCCCTCTGGGGTTCTCCACTTGGGCCCTTCCCTTAGATCCGCCACTGCACCCGATCTTTCTCTCTTTCATT